TGTCCTGACTGGGGTTTCTGGGAGTTGCAGTTCAAAAGCATCCGAGTAACAAAGGTTAAGAACCACTGCTCTAGACTCACAAAGAGAGTATGGCTCAATAAGAAGCTGACGACACATACCAAGATCCAGGTCTTTAGAGCCTGTGTCCTGAGCACACTCCTGTACTGCAGTGAGTCCTGGACACTTTGTGCCCGGCAGGAGAAGAAACTGAACACCTTCCATATGCGTTGCCTCCGACGAATTCTTGGCATCACCTGGCAGGACAAAGTTCTAAATAGAGTAGCCCTAGAACGAGCTGGAATTTTCAGCATGCATATATTACTGAAACAGCGACGTCTACGTTGGCTTGGGCACATCGTGAGAATGGCTGATGGTCGGCTTCCAAAAGATCTCCTGTATGGAGAATTAGTGCAGGGAAATCGCCCCAGAGGGAGACCACAGCTACGATACAAGGATATCGGCAAGCCTTAGGAATAGACCTCAACAGATGGGAAATCTGACATCTGAGTGTTCAGCCTGGAGGCAGGCATTACATCATGGCCTCTCCCAATTTGAAGAGACCCTTGTCCAGCAGGCTGAGGCAAAAAGGAAGTCACAAAAGCAGCAGAACCAGAGAGCTGGACAGGGGACAGATTGGATTTGTCTTCAGTGTGGAAGAGATTGTCACTCTCGAATTGGCCTCCTCAGCCACACTAGACGCTGTTCCAAGTCCTCCATACAGAGTACGTTACCATAGTCTTTCGAGACTGAAGGATGCCTACAATGTATGGAAGTGACACCTGGACCATAAAGAAAGCTGACTGCCGAAGAATTGATGCTTTTGAATTGTGGTGCTGGAGGAGGCTCTTGAGAGTCCCCTGGACTGCAAGGAGAACAAACCTATCCATTCTGAAGGAAATCAACCCTGAGTACTCACTGGAAGGAGAGATCCTGAAGCTGAGGCTCCAATACTTTGGCCATCTCATGAGAAGAGAAGACTCCCTGGAAAAGACCCTGATGTTGGGAAAGTGTGAAGGCAAGAGGAGAAGGGGACGACAGAAGATGAGATGGTTGGATAGTGTCATCAAAGCTACCAGCATGAATTTGACCCAACTCTGGGAGGCAGTGGAAGACAGGAGGGCCTGGCGTGCTGTGGTCCATGGGGTCACGAAGAGTCGGACATGACTAAATGACTAAACAACAAAAGCACAACCCTAAACAGCCTCAGAGAAAATGACCCACAAATATGAAAATAGGTAATTCTCTGCAGACAGGGCTGGATCAAGGCTATGATTGGCCCTGGACTAGCAGTTGTAATGGGCCCCCAAAACGCAAGTGGCTCACATGACATTTCTGTTGACACAGTTAAAGAAAGTTATGTTATGCATGATAACAATGAGCATTCTGCGCATCACAGTGGAACCCTTTCTCCATGCTTTCATGGAAGGAAAATATTCAATCTCCATTCACATGTTTACTGTGGGAAAGGTTTTTCTCAACTGTAAAGAGCCTCTCTGCTAATTTTGCATAGCTCACTTGACCCCACTCTTTATGTCTATACTCAGAAATCTTATGCAGACATCCACAAGAGACCTCCTCAGTATGTGGAGGGGACAAGGATATGAAAAAACGTTTCAAAGTGTGTATTGTGTGGCGAATATTCACTGCACCACTTTAAAAAGAGAGAGACAATTTGCTGCCCAATACATACTCTCCCCCCCCTTTCAGCCCCTCCATGGAACTGAGGAAGTGATTAACGTGTCAGTATTGTTGAAGTAGCTCTCTTCTTAGGCCAGTTCACAATACTGGCAAATTAGAGGAAGAGTCACTTTTCTCTGTTCCCAGTGATCACAGATGCTGGAAATGGACTAAATCAGAGCGATCCTACCCACACCAAAAAAGTAGAACCCCTTGACAAGGGCCAGGAAGTTATGGGTAAGCCTGCTCTGGAGACAATCTGGTTTACTCCAGCTATTAGAAAAGGAGGGAACTAAGACCTCCCAGCAGCAATTCAAACAGCAGGCTAAATGCACATTTGATTACACCCTTCGTTGGTTGTAATAGATTAGTTCCAATCTTTGAGCCAAAGTCAGGGAAAGGGTTGTTTCTTCAGATACAATTAAAACAAAAAACAGATGATGTACATCTTCTAAGTAAGATATTCCAGAGATAAGGAGGAAAAATAAGAAAGCATATAAGATTTACCACCTGACAAAAAATAAAAGGCATCTATAAGATTGAGTGAGAATATAAAAAGAAAGGGAAAAGATTACATTGACAAAGGTCTGAAGGAGATGTGCAGATATGAATAAAATTTATATTGAAATGTTGGGAAAAGAAAGCTAGTAATATTAGCATATTGGTAATTGTGATATTTTAATTCCTGGGTATGGCATGATGTTTTCCTTGCAAAGGCATGTAACTTATACAAATAAAGAAATGAAAAAGGAGGCCAATGGATTGTGAATTGAAAAATATAAGTAATGTGAGAAGCAAAGTGGGTTCAGGATATAAAATAGGAGAAACAAATTGAAGAAGTTAAGAATAGGAAAACCTTTTTGTGCATTGCAATAATTGACTATAGAGAGTATATGAAAATTCTTCTGTCTCATAGCCATGTGTGTGTGGCATACATAAAAAAAGAAGCCCTTACAAAACAAACATAAACAAAATTTAATACAAGTCCAAATATAAAATGTTTTTAAAAGCATGATTTAAATCTTTTAAAGGCCAAAACTATGGAATTCATAAAAACCCCATCAACCTGGGAAAAAATCTCTTTACATGGCAGCAAAAAGAGTGTAAGGTTAAGAACATAAGAAGAGCCCTTGCTGGATCAGGCCAAGGGCCCATCTAGTCCAGCTTCCTGTATCTCACAGTGGCACCACCAGATGCCTCTATTCTATGCAAAGCTGCTTGTGGAGAGGTTTCCATAGTTAAGGCTGCAGTTACTCTTGCACACACTTACCTGTGTTGCATAAGCACGTACTCATTTTCATTGCAATAACAAAACAGACAAACCTTTCTCCCCATTTTCCAATATTCCTGGAATTACTGTGGTGGATTCCCATCTTTCATTTTTTTTTTTTTAGTCTCTAGCCCTTATAGAACCAGAGGGGGAAGGCAAAATATCCAGTCACTACTTTTCCCAGTTGTTTTCTACAAAAGAAGAATGTCTGTGAGTTTAGCTAATGATCCCCTCCCAGTTTCTAGGTTGCAATGTTGCAATTTGAGGAAAACCTATTTAGTTTGCAGACAAACAAAGTCATTTTTAAGAGCTCCCTGCAAACACAGGAAGCATTTAAGTTCTAGAAATTGAGGAGGGTTGTGTGACAAAGTAAAAATACCTGTGGAAAGCAGAATCAAAATCTGTTGTGTCTTAGTATACAGTGGTACCTCGACTTACGAACTTAATTGATTCTGGAAGATGGGCATGTCGAAATCGTCGTAAGTTGAAGCACTATTTCCCATTGAAATGCATTGAAATGCAATTAATCTGTTCCGACTGAAGAAAAAAATCACAAAAAAAATCACTGCAAGACTCACTGGAAACGC